AAAGATAGAGATAGTTAAAAATACGAGGACTTATGTTCAATTCTCATAATGATCATCTTTGTAATCTTTCCTATTTAAAAAAAAAAAAAAAGTGGAATGTCGTGTGGTGTTGTGAATCACCTCGTGTCTCCCACGTGCACTTGCGAGGCCGGGTTTCCTCATCCCACGTGATTCTAATACTTATTTAAGGATCCTCTCATTAAACTTAATTTCGTAATACTAATATATTAGTTGTGAATGTCATAACGTGCCCCATACGAATTTTTAATTCCAACACAAATGAAGATAATATTATTTAACTTAATCTCCGTAATCCTCGTTAATCCAGTCAATTCATGCCTTCCATTTTAGGACGCACCTCAAATGGTTTCTGACAATCACCAAATTGACAATTCATATATAATATATTTTTTTCTAATGCTAGCTAAGGATCTATCTACAATGCAAACTGAAGTTAACAGTAAACAAATGTTGTCTAGTGTTCCGTTGGTTACAGCACAATCATTTCTTCATTTTTTTTTATTACCAATAAAGTTTGGTATTTAAATTACTTAACATGTCTCTGTCATTAATGTAAAAAAACGAAGCAGTCTTATTATTTTATGCTTGACATATACCATCCATGCTTAGGCTTATATTGGGTTTTCATAGGTTAAATTTTAGAAAATTTTCAAATCGAATTTTTTTTTTTTTTTTAAGTGTATCGATTAATCAACTTTTTTTTATAAAGTGAATTGATTTGATTTTTTTTATAAATATGATCATATTTTTAAAAATTACCATTATTCGTATATGGGGGAAGATATGTTTAAAATTATGGGTGAGTGTTGGGACAAATACGTGGAGGATGTTAATGAAAGAAAAATGTAGACATATATATCACATTCTAGGCAGTTGCCAAATTTGGTCCCACCATTTAAATAAGGAAACGAGATCCCTATTTGTAAAGTCACAAGATACAATTAATAAACTTTCCTCTCAGGTATCCTAATGCACCACCTTCCCAAATTAATATTCAACTATATTAGTACACCCCCAAAAACAAATCAGCAAATGTGGCACGTTATAAACAATGCGAGTTTGAATCTAAATATTTTCACACACAATTGTTGCCCTATTTGCGACTTTAAGGTAATATTTAAAGATATCCAGATCTATCTCATCGAATTTTATTGGAATGGTTATTGTTTTTGAAGGCCATGATTGACTTTACATGGCGATGGAGCTTATCCAAATGAGAATATGCCACTTCATTCTTTCTCCTTTTGTAGTGTTCGGTGATCCAACCAATATTTTATTTTTCTAGGTTTTTAATTGTTAGTATAGTAATAATGAAGCGTGGTGTTGAGTGGTGGGGATCGGAGAACATTCCTTTGAGAAACATATGGGGGAGGTGGATAGAGTGCTCAAAATGCTCATTTTAATTTTCATACTTTTTTTTTAAAATTTTAAAACATATATGCAGTAAAAAAGGAATTGTTTTTTGTGATTCATTTTAAGACAAATGATGATGGAATCTTTAATCTTTAATAATGGGGATAAGCTTGAATTGAATGAACCGCCGATTTTTTCCTACTCAACTATGTTGTTTTTATCCTTCTTTTTTGGCTTAATTGAAAATTCCCATAATTAATTGTTCATTTAATTGAATTATTATTTTAACTCATTTTCTCTCTCTCTTCGTTTATGTAACATTCCAGTTTCGATTTTTAATTGTACCAACAATGCCTGTGTTTTAACTTTTAATTACTTACTTTCAGGGTATCAATAAGAAAATCTTAATTTTATCGTATATATGATACGCGAAATCTTTTTTTTTTTTTTTTTTTATTTTAAAAATCTAAAGTTATGATGTTAGTTTTTTAGTTTAGTTTATTATTAATAAATAATAATTTTAGGAAACATTATTTTTCAAGAGTATTTTTTATTAAGATTTTTTTATCAAATTGTTTCCATAAGATTGGTGAGAATAGGGATGAATATACGGGTTAGTTGGATCCATTTAAAGTTCAATTTGCAAAGAATGTCTGCAGACTCAATAAAAAAATTAGAAAAGAAAAGTCCTTCCAAATTTATGATAAGAAAATATGAGAAAGAAATACATTAAAAAAATATTATATATAAATATAAACATCAAATATTCTAAAATAAAAATAAATTATGAAAGTTTTTAACATATAAATGTTTACACACTTAAACTAAGACATTAAAGCATTAATATATCAAATTTGCATATTTCATCTAAAATATATTAAGATAAAAAAGTATAATATTTTTTAAATTAAAAATATACTAATTTAATATTTATTACTTTTAGTTATTTATTAACATAATATTATAATCACTCGTATTTTTAAAACTAGCAAAATAATATTTTTTTAAAGTGGATCAACTCACAAAATTCATAATTTAAACTCATTTTTTTCTATAATTACATGAATTTTTAAAAAATAGGTTGATTAATCGTGTGGACCATGACTTTCATGGGTCAGCTTGTAAACTTGAACCCATATATATCCACTCTTAGGTGAGAATATGACATTTTTAAGTTGAAAAAAATGTTTTATTATGATAAAATATTATGTTACCTTAATTTACTTAGCTAATGCAGTAAAAAAATTATAATTACTAAGTATAATAGTATTCATAGTATTCTTAACAACATTTATGATTAACTAAATATATTTAATCATTATTAGGAGTCACGATTCTCTTAACTTAAAAATAATAATAATTTAGATTTCCAAAATTTAAGAAAATTTAATAATTAAATCATGAATCAAAACAAAAAAAAATATTAAATTTAACAAAATAATTTTTAAAAACAACACTATAAAAACAATAATATTAAAAAAAAATTACTATTCTTCATTTATCTAATTTTTTTAATCATTTATATATGACTATAATTAAAATTTATGCATCATAATTTGGAAAAAAAAATTCTTTATATATTATAAAACCATAATTTAAAAAACATTATATAAATATCAGCAACAACATAAAGCTTTTGAAGGAGAAAACAAGAAAAAATAAAGAGTAACGACCTTTGAAAGGAGAAAAAAAAATATAATCGAGTTTTTGATAGATTAGTGAAAATAAAATAAAATAAATACTTATGAGGGTAACAAGATTCAAACACGAATGTTCTTATATAAGTTTTTATACATGTAGAATAATAAATTACAAGTTTAAATATGTTTTTAATCTCTTAAATTTAGGATAAATTTTATTTTTGTTCCCTCAAATTTAAAATTATTTTTTTTAGTCTCCCAAGTCACTAATAACACATGTGAAAGTAACAAATTGTGATAGCTATACAATATGAAATGTTTTTACTAATAGATATACTAGTAAATAGATTTTGTGTGTCAAGATTCCCTAAAAAAATTAAATGTAAGGACTAAATCAATAATTTATTGAATTTACAGAGGCTTAAAAAAATCAATTTTAAATTTCTTTAATAAAATAAATAAATTTATCTTAAATTTGATAGACTATAAATGTATTAAAGATTAAACTATATTAGATAACTTATCAAAATTAACTTGAAAGATCTTTATAATTATCCATAAAATATTTCATAATAAACTATAATTAATTGTTCATTAACTTTTTTAAAATAAAACTGAATTTTATATTTTATTCTCTGAAGTTATTAGCATTAACCAAATCAAAATTCAACTATTTATCGATGAGTTTAAGGTAGTTGAATGAGTAAACTATGTGAATTATGATAAACTCTTTTTTTTATGTATTGAGTTGTATTGCAATAAATTATCAAAATTCAATGATTTATAACAATAAAAAAATATGATATATTGAAAATATAAAACAGTTTTATACGATAATTCAGTTATAATTTATCAATTTAATTTTATGATAATTATCTAAAACATTATCCAAATTATGAATTTTAATTATTGTTTGTGTAATTTACCTTAATAATAGATTAACATTAATTAGGGCAAGTATTGGAGGGACCTCCCACATCCTATTAAATAGTACTGTAGATAGTGAAGAAATGAGATTTGGCCCCGTGTGTGCTAAATAAAAAGCTTGAGAGCGTGTTTGTATATACGTATGAAATGTGAAAATTTACGTTTAACGTAATAGCTTCCACATTAAACGTGATTTTCTACGTTAAACGTGATTTTCCATGTTTCAAACGTATATACAAACACGTTATGAGTCAGCAATGTACTTGAAGTTCCACCATTCCGCCATCACGACCACATACAATACAACCTCAAACACGTGCATCAAACAAAACACAACAAAAGATGTTAAGGGCATATAGAGAATAGGAAAAGGTAAGACATTTTGTGTACATACTAAAAAAAAAAATTATCAAGATAAAAAGGGAGAGCGAAAGAGATATAGATATTAGTAGACTTAGAAAAGAAGTAGGAGTGATAGAAAGTGACCTCAATTATCATTAATTATTATTTTATAGTCTATAGTATTACAAAAATTACATTTATTTATCTTTATTTTCAAATTCTTCATATCCGTTTCCATAATCCATATTCCATGTATGTGTGTGTAGATTATAACAAACCCAGGTCCGCATACTCTATCCTTCACAATAAAAGCACCACTATGCGTCGTTTCATGTGAAAGACCCAAACGCATCGCACTTTATCATCGTTCGATGGTGATGGTTGTGATGGAGGCCAACGACAGCTGCGGCAGCGGAGTGCACCTCCTTACCACCACCACCTCGTCGTCGCCGCCGCAGAGCCGCCACCACCGCCAGAAGGTCGAAGTCTACAATGAGATTCTTCGCCGCCTGAAGGATTCCGGCGACCAAGAGGCTACGCAACCTGGCTTTCACGATCAGCTTTGGGCTCACTTCAATCGCCTTCCAACTCGGTCATCTCCTTCTCTCGTTTCTTTTTCTACACATTACTACGTTAATCTTCTAGCATTTATTGACACGTGTTTTCGCTTCGTCTTTTTATCGGAATCTTCTTTTATGTTTTTTTGTGAGCTTTTGGCGGTTGATTGATTTCGCTTGAATCCGTGTGCATGGAAGATATTCGAATTGAATGAATGTTTGTTGTGATTGTGTTTTGTTTGGTATCGTATGGTCGATTAGGTCTGCGATTTTGGGTTTTGGAGAGAGATTTGAGGATATTCTGTAATGCAGGTATGCGCTGGATGTGAATGTGGAAAGGGCAGCGGATGTTCTTATGCACAAGAGATTATTGCACTTGGCGCATGATCCTGCTAATAGGCCTTCAATTGAAGTTCGATTAGTTCAGGTGACCTAACACTTGTTCATATGATGAGCGCCACTCATGTATTCTTTATGCTGTTAACTCATCTCCTTGCAATCGCAGTTTTCACTTTTTAGTGCTCTCACGTGGTGCGGAATTGTTGTTTTTCTATGCTTTGTTGACTTTTCAATTGTCATCTCTGCAAGTGGGTCATTTCATTCCTGGCGGAGGATAACTATATAAAATGTAGCTGTTGCAATCAGGCACTGCATGTTTATATATATGTGCTTTAACGAACAGAATACGTTATTAAAATCAAGCCTTGGAAGTTTACAGTTTTTGTTGGACAGTGGACACCCTGCATGTGAACAATTTTTTAATTTGTAAAATGTTTTGATCCGTTAAAATAGTCTTTTATCTGTCTGGACTCTGGAGGGAGCCGTTTTGGTCACATGCAGCTGTAAGACAAATACATGCACAGTCATCGAAGCAATATAGTTAATACAATTCATTATCTTGCTGAACTGCAATCAGGCAATCTTTTTACGATGTTACACAGATTTTATTGACAGCATAGGTTCGCTGTAGTGGAGTATGGTTTGCTCTCTCTGTAATTCTTGAGAACCACCACTGAATTTTTCCCGGACTAATTTAAATTTATCTAAGATTAGGAAAAGAAAATTTGTTTAACTACATCCAATTGTGTTTCTGCTTTATATATGGTCTAAAGCTAACATGATTCCCGGTACTGGTGAGAAGGGGAAAGTTGAAAAAAAAAAGAGAAACTCAAAAAGATGTGATGGTTTCATATGTTAGGAAATTAAACTGCGAAATGCTTGTTTGTACCTAAAATAGCATCTGCTTCCAATATAAGCATATGCATCATGGTTCCTTTTGTGTGATCTATGATGGTGTACTCTAAACTCAGCATTGGTTGATTTTTCTCATTACATCATTGATTAAAGAAATAAAATACTTTGTCAATTTCAACATGTTTGTCTTCATATAGCATTGAGGATGGTTCATTTGAGCCACTCTTTGTATACTAGCATGAGCAGATTTGTGAAGTCTATTTAGTTAATGTGTTATTAGTGTCTGGGAATATTTTCCGTCAGAAAATTAACCTGCATAGCATTTGTTTGGTTAAATTGTCCCTTATTATTATCAAAATATGTTTTTCATACTTATGAATTTGTAATGATTGTGTTTTTTCCTTCCATATTCAAGTTCTAGTTTCAATTCTCATATTTTGAGTGGGGTATGTTTCATTATTCTTTACCTCATTCCATGTCGGTAATATCATTTTGGCATTGGAATCTTCTTGCAGGTTCATCCCATATCTGATGGAAACGCAACAGACTCTCTTGAAACAGATGATCCTCGGACAGAGTCTGGTCAAAGTTCTTCAAAGTACTCAAGCAGACAGAGGTACTATTTTCTTGCTTGTTATATCGATTTCATAATTTTTTGTTAAACTTTTCGGGTGCTATTTCCACAAAGCTCAAGCAATGGCTCTGTATAAAGCACTACTGGTTATTCTACTTAATGAGGGTTGATCATGGTATTCTTCTAATTTTTCTTGCTTTTTTTTTAACGTTTTAGTATACATCCACCTCCTGCTTTTGGCTCTTCTCCTAATCTTGAAGCACTGGCTCTTGAAGCAAATGATTCTGAAGACATAGAGGAGGAACATTCTGTACATGCCAATGTTCAATATTCACGGTGAAACTTCTGTTCCAAGCTATTTTTAGAACCAGGCTTGGAAAATTTCTTTGAATGATAACCTGGAATCTAAATGACTTATTTCTTGCTTTTTATATGGGGTTGGATCTTAAGATGCAACTCAGCTGGTCTTTAATGCTTGTAGCTTCCATGTATTTGCTCTTTAATCATGTTACAAACACTTTGACATTCTTGAGGTTGAGATGATGATGATTATTATGCCAGTATGGTCTTAACTTTTGCATATTTCCCTTGATGATTAATGTATAATACAAATTGAAGAACTTATCTAGGTATATCCATCTAAACTTGTAAATGATGTTGGGATCTTTGGTAACACTTATATGGTTTATGAAGTTTCTAGTCAAATGTTTTAATTTATTTTTGGTGTTTATTTTAAAATTTTAAGCATCTATGTCACTGAAAATTATGTAGGCCCATGCATGAAATCACCATCTCAACAGATGACAAGCCAAAGCTTCTTTGTCAGGTATTTGATATCTTTCTTAATTAGATTATATAGAGAGAATATATTTGAATATTGTGGGTTGTATGTCCACACTGCACATGCTTCTTATTTATAATCACGTATTAGGGTGCAACAAGATCAATCATACATAAGAGTAACTTAAATCCTTAATTTGTAGCAACTACGTCCCAATTTCTAGTAGTATTTGAGAGGCCCCAAATCTTTCATCTGAAACCAGCTGAAGAGGTGGAAATTGGAATATCCAATGATGATAAGGTAAATGCATCAAACAGAAGGAGAATAAATGGAGAAAACAAAGTTATCTGCCTCATACTGAGTCATGTTAAAATATATTAAGTTAGAGCTAAAATAGTCAAACCAAGTATGGGGAAACTACTTCAAACCACAGAGAGAACGACAAAGCCAACAAATAAGGCGAGAGTCACTCGAATCAGTAAAACATGGAGGCTGATCCATATACACGTTGATTTGGTGCTAGCATGTGAGATGCATGTGACAAAGAGAAGCAATGCATGAGGGTGCATGTGGTGGCAGTTTAAGACAGGGCTGTCAATGTGTTGGTCATTGGAGGATGCCGACTAAGGTCGTATAGGTACATGGGAAAAAGAGTTGCAGTGACTTAGGTCGTATGGGCACATTGGAAAAAAGAGTTGCGATGGCTGGGAAAAAGGGATATGTAGTGGTTGCCAGTACTGTCCACTCATGAATGAGAACCGCTTGCGGCAGAGAGGAGTTGAAAAACAAAAAACCCTAAATTACTGATACATATAGAGAAATATATTTGAATGTTGTGTGTTGCATATCCACACATGCTTATTTGTAATCACATATTAGGGTACAACAGAATCAATCATAAATGAAACATTTGACTTGGCTGGAACTGGCATCTCAACTATTTAGACACAATCAATCACCCTACTTGGACTAACTTTGAACCCCACATGATAAATGAAACATCTGAAAGGTCTGTTTCCTTCTGCAGTTAACTGCTTTGCTTGCTGAGATTGGGCTGAACATCCAAGAAGCACATGCCTTTTCCACAATTGATGGTTTCTCATTAGATGTGTTTGTTGTTGAAGGATGGCCCTATGAGGTATGTTGATAATCATTTGAGATGGATACATAATTTTAAGAAAATGAGATATTTCTTTCAAAGTTTGATGTCATTGAATTCTGTATTAATTTTCAAAAACATACTTGTAGAGTTCACATGTTCACATTCATCTGAACCATGTTCTTGCAAAAAAGTATTTGAGTTCACAAGCAATGTTTTTCAACCATAAAGGCCAAAGCTGATTCTTTCATATATTTGGAATGCTTTATTTTGTACTTCTCTGTTCTCTTGTATTCTGGGATACATTGTTGTCTTACTTTTTTCCATCACTTCTATTCTCTTTATTAATGTTTAATATTATTAAAGTTTCAGCTCATCCTCTATTTCTTGACTATTTGGTATTTAAACAGGAAACAGAAAAGCTTAAAGCAGCTTTGGAAAGAGAAGTCTTGAAGATTGAGGTAAATTGTTTTTCTAGATGACGGTTAAGAGTCATTTTGACTAATGTTCAGTAAATGAACTCTCATTTGAACACTTCATTCAGAGACAGGTGAGATCCAGTCCGCAATCAGTATCTTCTGTTGATGAGCCTGATCAAACAAAGATGAAAAGCAAACTGGATCATTTGACAATACCAAATGATGGGACAGATGTTTGGGAAATAGATCCTAAACATTTGAAATATGGAACTCAAATTGCATCTGGGTCATATGGCGAACTGTGAGTACCTAACTATCGAGAAATATGCAATCCTTTTGTTTTTCCTTGATGTTCTCACTAGGTGTAGATATCATTTCAATTTTAAATTAACTGGTTATTTTTAATTATATCAGATTTAAAGGTGTATATTGTAGCCAGGAAGTGGCCATTAAAGTTCTCAAGGCCGAGCATGTAAATTCAGAATTGCAGAGAGAGTTTGCTCAGGAAGTCTATATCATGAGGTTTGTTGTATTATATTTGCACATTGTAAGCATCTGAAGTTTATCTACCTGTTTATTGAGATAGTGATTTTGCATGTCAGAACTTAATTTTGAAAACTGTGTCTTAACTGTTGACCATGTCAAAAGTCTGCTCATTAAGATGGCATAACTTTTTTATAGTAGGACCGAGGCGAATGAGCAACTAGAACATACAATTTTTGTAGCGATTGCATATTTATTAGTTATCATATCTACACATATAGATACTCATAAAACAAATCAAATACCCCAAATTAAAGAAATTCATAATAATTAATTGAAGAATTTAACAAATTTGACAAAAATTAGCAGAATGTGAACTGGGAAGTCTAAAGAAAGAAAAAAGAATAGAACACATGAAAAAACAAACTTATAAAGTTTGAAGAATCAAATGTCAAAACAAAGGTAATTTTTTGTGGAATATTTTACCCTCAAAACTCCAAACAACAGTGTTCCAGGGGGTAAAAGTTTGTTTTTGAAGGCAATATCATGGTAGCGTTGCTAAAGGGCATGAAAAGCAGGCACTAAAAACTGTTCCACTAATTGAATCCCATAATGGTCCAGGGCTGTTCTTTTACGCTATAGTGTACTATTAACTATGAGTGAGTACATTAAACAATTGCACATACTATATAATTCTGTTGTCCTTCATATAATATCTCAAGCAATGTTTTGTGCTTCTTTAGAGTGTGCTCATATTTTTGCCATTGTAGATTGTCATTCAACATCTCCTATCGATAGATGTGAAGTTGAGTTTCATAGCAGTTATCACAATTTATTATTTATCAACTTAGAAAGCCAAATTTCTTCCAAATTTAGTATCAACTTCCTTTTTGGAATTTCTGCCTTTCATTTTTGACATTTATGTGTGAAAATTTGGACCTAAATTTTAGTGGGATTTTAAATTTTCTCCTCATAACATTTCTTAAAAGGTAGTTCAAATCAACGAAAAGAAGGGGGGATATTTTACTTAAATGAATGATGTTAAAAAGAGTTTAAGTATCTCTTCAATATGGAAGTTCTAGAAGTTGTAATTGTAGTTATTGCAATGGACATGTTGCCCACGAATTGCAAATGCACCTAATACTTGCATTCTGATCTAATTTGTGGGGCCATGAGTCATCATATGAGAAACTTTTAATGTACTTGGCTTATTGACTAATTTTTTCTTTTAGGACAGGAAAATATGCAAAACTCAAATCGGTTATAGTTTAATATTCTCACTTAAAAAAAAAAATAGTGTGTATACCCTATATTTTATTAACCTCACTGGTGGAACTTGCAGAAAGGTTCGACACAAGAATGTTGTACAATTCATAGGAGCATGTACCAAGCCCCCACGCTTATGCATAGTAACAGGTGAAATCCAATGAATTACTTTATGTTGTAGAATAATGGAATAGATGCGAGTTTAAAAGTGTAGTAATTGTCAACTGCCTTGTAATGGTTGTTTCCTTTTCAATTTTCAGAATTTATGTCTGGTGGAAGTGTGTATGACTACCTACATAAGCAGAAGGGCTTTTTTAAATTTCCTAACCTGCTCAAAGTAGCTATTGATATTTCTAAAGGAATGAATTACTTGCACCAGCATAACATAATTCATAGAGACTTGAAGGCTGCCAACCTTTTGATGGATGAAAATTGTGTACGATGCTTCCTTTATCTTTTCCCTTTTAAAAAGTTTATGATCAGGTGAAAGAAATGCTGCTTCTGCTCCCCCTCCCCCTGACATAATATACCACATGTATGGCTAAATACAGTGAATAATATAAACTGGGCATACATAACTGGAAGTTGTATATTTGTTCCATTGCAGACTGTAAAGGTTGCTGATTTTGGAGTTGCTAGAGTTAAAGCTCAATCTGGTGTTATGACAGCAGAAACTGGAACATATCGATGGATGGCTCCAGAGGTATGTAATCCTTTCATGTGACTGTTGTCGAGTTGTTCAAATAGTTTCCATGATATTGTTGGGCTTTTCAACACCTATTTCCATTTTACTTATTTTATTCCCCCATAGGAGTTTGTACATTTTTTAATTGGTTTTTTTTTTACTTTTTTCAACCTAAATAAATGTTTAGTGTTAATCTTTGATGATTTTAGTGAACTTGTCGATGACATTACTTGAATCACTTTGGAAAATGTCCAGTCATGAGGTCATATTGACACTGTAGCCAAGTCTATTGCATTCATCTCATCCTAGTGTTTAGGAAAAACTGATCTGAAGTGTTTTGCTTTGACTTTCTATGTTGTCTTTCCCACTTCACTTAATTATACACCAAATTTTATGAGATTCGATTGTATTGATGCATTTGTATGAGAAAGAATTAGTGCAGCGTTGTATTTCATGATAACAGACGAGATCAAGTTATTGGTAGAAAATGTTCAAAATGTTACCATTAGTTCTTTAAATATCTACGGAAATGTAGTGAGTTAACCCAAATGTTCATTTCTGTTTTCCTTTCCTTGCTTAAATATTTTATGGTGGCTAATAAGATAGATGGGAGATATAACTCATCTTGTCATCTTTTCTTACCATGATTCCTTTGCATTGAAGGTTATAGAACACAAACCGTATGATCACAAGGCTGATGTATTTAGTTTTGGAATTGTTTTATGGGAGTTGCTCACTGGAAAGGTATTTCTCATTTGTAACACCATATAACTCTTACAGTATTAATTTTCCTTATGTGAATTATTGTGTTTGTCTTGCCAGCTTCCATACGAATATTTAACCCCTCTTCAGGCAGCTATAGGGGTGGTTCAAAAGGTAAATTTTGCTTCTGAAATTTTTGAGGAAAGTGGTTTATATGATTAAATGAAAATGTGTATTGTATAGATAGTGATTGTTTTACTTTAAATGGATCTCAGGGTTTACGACCCACCATCCCCAAGAACACTCATCCAAAGTTTGTTGAGCTTCTTGAGAGGTCTTGGCAGCAAGATCCAACATTGAGACCCGATTTCTCCGAAATTATCGAGATCCTGCAGCAGTTAGCAAAGGAGGTATAACAAGGTTACTTTATGTGTATGTATGTGTTCCATTTTTTTCCTTTGAGTACTAAGGTTGCATTTATTTCATGTGATAAAGAAAATGGTCATTTTGAATCAGTGGAAGGTTGGGGTTTGATCATTTAGATTTCTGCCCCTAAGAGATAGATACCAGTCTTGAGGTTGTCCCTCAGTCTGAAACCCAGCATTCATTTTGGTTCCTATGTTAATTAATATCAATTAAACTAATGGAAATGCATGTGGCATGGAAACAATGTTGCTCCATGTTTTACGTCAGAAAATTGTTTGGCTCTTCATTTTCCTCTTCACCGTCTTATTGGTGTTTTGATAGTGGGAATAATCACCAGAAGAGGGTGGTAATGATGGATTAGTGGTGGAAACAGGAGAGTGAAGGAGGGTTAGAATTGAGGAGGACAAAGGGAAATGTGATGGATTGGATCAAGAGCAAGATAAAGGAGGGATCCAAGAGTGAGTGGGTTGAAGAAACAGAGAAAGAGGTTCTAGAGCAAAGGTGTGGTGGAAGGTAAAAGTTTTGTGAGGAGCTTCTCAGGAAGAGTAAGATGAAAGATAGAAGAAAAGGATCCCTTGTTTGCGGTCAGGAATTGTGCTCTAGTAGAAAAATGTGAATGCTTATGTAACACAAACACCTCTCGTGTTTGAAATGTTGCAGTGTCAAACAGTTTCTGACATCGACAATACTAACGCCTATATGACACATGTTCAACACTAATAAATGTCTAATTGAAAATTATGATTTGCTGTTTTGGACACTGTAAAGAAAGTCATTGGAGGCACCCCTAAGCAGAGTAGATAAGCATGGTTTTAGTTCTGTGAAAAGGAGGAAAGAGAGAATAAGGACATTGGAGGAAGTTGTTGAGAGAGATCTCATGGTAAATAATATCTTTGAAGATTTGGTCTTTTTGGCCTGGCCGAATGACATGACGTGATTCATGTAACCGGCCTCGCCTTATATGGATAGATAAATACTAATATTATTTTAGTAACATTTTTTAACTTGTCAGCTTAAAATTGAATATAAAATGTCAAAAATTAATGTTTCTTTATTTTTTGTAAGCGTCATTATCGTAGAAAATGCAAAACTTAGTAAGTTGGTTTAAGAAGGTGAATATATCTTAATAAGATATAATTTCATCTTGTTTTGGAATTTTTGTTAGACTGACATGCTTTTTTGAGGCTCATTATCATAGGGGAAAAGGTGAATATAAAAATATTGATTATCAATTTGGATCTTTGGTTGTGCTATTCATATTTCATTTCATTTGAGTCTATCTATAAGAGAGCATATTGAATTTGTTCATAACATGGATAAAACTTTGCATGTGGAACAGGTCGGAGATGGAGAGGAGAGGCACAAGGATAAATCTGGAGGACTTCTGTCTGTCCTCAGACGAGGTCATCACTAAAATGTTCTTTCAATAGATGATGTCCATAACATGGTCGTAGGTAGGATCAATCACAGGGCCATTCCCCATTTGTTTCTACATTTTCATGTACAGTTTTTTCTTCACGTTATCTGATTGCTTTTATGGTAGATTTCTAGCTATATAAGCATTTTGAAAATATGATTAATTATCCATTTCTTTGTGTTTTATGACATTTTTATATCTGTAATAAAAAAAAAAAAGTTGTTGATGATATAAATTAAAATCATAACATCAACAATCCTTTATCCCAAAAAAATATTATGTAAAGTATAATTTTTTACGAAAATTTTCAGTTTCGTAATGGATTCTGCAGTTATTGCATATGATATGACATGTTTAACACGCGGTTGGTTCACAAATTGAGCTGATCGCACGGATCATGCAATTATGCTTGTAAACATCTTGAGAGATATTTATGATGATATCAGTTGAAAACTAGACTGAATCGTCCGGTCGGATTAATTCGATCGAGAATCGGTCTTTATCAATTTTTTAGGTTCAAAGAACAATTTCGCATCAAACCAATAAAATCGATCAAAACAGGTAAAACTGATAAATAAAAAAAAAAGGTTAAATCAGGTTGAATCGGTCTAATTATCGGATGATTTTATAAACATGGGATAATATAGTTAGCAAACTATCTTGCAGCTAACTTGAGGACACCGCAAGGGAAACAGACAAAATACGTAATTGGAAGAAGAGATTGATGCCTAACAGATATTTTAAATTACTAGATGCATAGAGCCCGGAACCCCTGTCACTGTGTTCCTGCTTCTCCCATTTAAGTCAAATGAGACACGTGTTTGCCGGTTTGGTAGCCTAAGCATTCACAATTTACTTTGCTAAGTGCCACCAATGGCCAATTGGTTGGGAATCGTAAAAGTTGTAACTACCTAACCTATTGAGTGACATTATTTTCACTATCTGTTTTTACTATTTTTTTATTATTGAATTATTATTTCACTAAATGTTAAGATTATAAAATTACAACAAATTTGGGTCAGAACTTTTTTTAAATTGAAGGATACATGGCACTGAATGGTGATTTTCTCGAAACTGACAGATGATTGTTGATTATGGTATTTACTATTTATGTAACTCATTTTTTATGGGGTATAATCTCGCCGATAGTTTTATTTTTATATATAAGAAACAAATATTCTTCCAGAATTTATATATTAGTAAAATATGTTAAAAAAATTAGATTAAAATATAAATAAGTTTTAATTAAATAACTTTATTTAATGCTCTTAAACAAAAAAGATTTCTAAAATATTAAATAAGTGCACTATTTTTTATAAGTGTGATTAAAAATATTTTAAGAAATGTAGTATATATTTTATGTGAAATCATTAAAACTAAATTATTTAATTTATTCTTTTAATATGTGAAAATTTATTTATTTTTGTTTATATATAAGTTTAAAGGGAGTATCTAATTTATCAAGACTAATAAAAGTAGTTAAATTAGTTGTAATTAATGATGTCATAATTTAAATTTTTATTTCAAAAATACCTATAAATTGAATAGTGTTAGTGGTATATGTATTTAATGACACTACTTAAAAGTTAAAATACTAATATACGATTTTATAAAAATAATAGATAACTCATTAATAAACACATAATAAATTAAAGATAAAAATAATCACTAATTAATATATTTAAAAGTAATTATATTTGTATAATTAGAATCAAAATATGATACTTATTTTTTTTTTATATAAGTAGTATTACGAAAAATTACATAATCGTTCTAAATCTCCATCAACTACGTTAATATAAAACCGAATTTTGTAAAAGAATAATGTGACTTAAAGCACCAGCAACGTAGGGTACTAAACAAAATTCTTGCATATAAATATCGGTGCCTATTTAATTTTTATCATTGGAATGCGATTTTATTTTTATTTATGGCCGGATACTTATACAAGCACTGGTCCTTATACTAACAGTGGACCCATCAATTTTAAAAATAAAATAAAATAAAGCATAAATTAATGAATAAATTAGTGATGAAATGTAGGAATGTAGAATTATTGGCAGGACTCATTTAATATTTTTGCAGAGATGTTTGGAGGGATTGAATAGATAACAGAATTTTTAAATAAAAATAATAATAAAATTGAGTAATGTGTATAAATGGGATTCATTTAGGTACGTTGAGTAAGATACGGATTATAAATAGTCTTAACGTATATACGTACAAATTTGGAGCACATAACATAACAGTAAAGCAAGTACATTACATTCTCATTTGTCTTTGTCCTTTACTCCTTTAAGTATTTCTCGGGATTTTCAACTGGATAAACTATGTTTGCTTCTCACTCGTTGCTCTTCGTACAATAGTTCTGGCCTCACCTTAACTATTTGCAACCCCTGTAGTTAAGGTTTAAGGTTTTTCTTTTCACCTTTTTCTTCTTCAGTTAGTATTTTGCCTCTAATCTTTATTACCTTGAACAAATATAGTATGTTTACCTATAACCACTCTTTCTGCAATTAGAAACAAATGCATACAATATGCCACATAAGTACACTTTTAATATTTGTATGCCCTATTTTATTTATTTTATTTGTAGTCTTTATTTCTACAAGACGTTATAACAACTGACTGAACAATAAAAATTGTAGAAAATACAAACTTTTCATACTTCCGAAAACTAATTTCTAAAACAATAAATCCAACCACACGATTAAAAACATCGTTGAAATAAATTTTGACGAACAAACTGGAGCGTGTTAGAAAAAGAAGGGGAAAAAGTGTAGAAAAAATTACCTTATTGCTAATCCGAGTTGAGGCCTATTGAACACCCAAAACAACTATCCGACCCATGAAAGCCCACTGGACTGGATGAACCTCACAGTATTTCACATTAGAAAGTGGATAGGATAAGCACTTATCACATCTAAAATCTAAATCTAATCATGCCATTGATCAAAAGCAATAAAAATAAATAAATAAATAACGTTTTTATAAAAATATGTTTTAATTCCTTTAAATATAATAAAGTTTATTTTAATTCTCTATATTAATTGAGTTTGATGACATAAGATGCATTTAAACATGTAACTTCACATGTCACCTGGCAAAAGTATGTCTTAGACGATATTGTTGCAGACTAAAATAGAAAGAAATGTACAGCGCATTACTACATTACTAGCTGCTCCATTGTTGTGTGGCGTAGCTGCATTGAAACTGAACAACTTGTACATTACGTTATCTTCATGAATCATGCTCATGCCCATGTCTCGCTAACTATATTACTATATTACTCACTCTAAAAATGTTCTTATATTTAAACTCTCTGACACCATTTCCTATTTATCATTTTAAAAATAAATTAAAAAAGTACTTAAGCGTTGTGATGATTAAAGTGTTTTTTTTTTTTTCTTGATGGATGGAGGGTTCAACCTTACTTGAGGAAATTAAAAAAAAAAAAGTTTTAATTCCTATGAGACTCATAATTTATATAGGACCCGTATTTTTTTTCTTCTTATTTTTAAAATATTATTATTACATTCAAATATAAATATATAATTTGAAATAATTTATTTGATTTAAATTTCAATTTAAAATTCTATGTTTTAGAAATGATTATTAATTAATATAAATATGGAAAATATACATATGAATACTCTTTTATCGAATATTCATATGAATATAGGAGATAAAATTTAATATAAAAGAACAAAAAGGGCAAGAGGGCCACCTGTGATTGAATAACGCAATGTGGTTCATTCTATTCTATTTCTATTTGGCTGATAGATATGTAAAGGATAAGTTACGGTGTGCATCCTCCTATCTAATATCTTAGTGGTCCACTCCTACATATCATATATGCTCGGCTTTCATTATGGTTTAACATTCTTTACTATCATATTATTGGTGTACAATATTTATTATTTTTTTAATCAGTAACATTCTAATTTAACTTCTTCTTTTTTTATTTTTTATTTTATACTTTATTTAAGAAATGTGAACCAAATTTAATAAATAATATTTGTTCTCCATTTGTGTAATTTTTTATTTATTAATATTTTTTAACATTATTTATTTGAGTAAATTTCACCATAACCATTTTTAAGGAAAAAAAATGAAACGAGTTTTTCAATAAACTAAAATGAGCTAATGTACAAGTTAATTTATAATAGTTATCTTCTGTGAGTTTCTCAAAATTCTTTTTTAATTCATTCATATCTTAGTTTTATTTTATGAAGTAACTTATTTAAATTTTTTCTTATATTTATTTTTCTAAAAGTGCTTTTGGACAAACTTATACAAATAAGACTTTAGACATGAAGGCATAACTGAAAATATCACTCTAATTCTAAAATGGGTTGACCTAATCAAAGAATGTGACACATTTTAAGCGATATTAACTTTCAATTATCCATGTATGTTTGCATAATATAAATTTATTTCTTACATCAACTTAGAAGTACACATTAAATTTAAAAGAGGTATTCTATGTGTTTGTGAGATTTGCTAATGTATGTGAACTTATTTTTTAGTTATTATAATTTAAATAAATTAAAAAATATATATTTATTTTAAGTTGTTGCATACAAATAAATGCTAAAATTAGTATTTAAGAAAACCTGAAAGAACATGATAGTGAATGATATGACTAAATTCCATCCATGTGGTCCTTTGATCGACAAAATTAGATGATTGGTCTATTTTCTTTAAACAAATCCCGCCGTCCTGCCCTAAGGGAATTTTTGTATGGATTGGCCTTTAAAGTTTAAAGCATTGTGCTTCTCACTTGGAATGGATTTCCAACTCACAAGTCTTTGTCTATGATACCCAACACAATGGGAGTCCTTCAAGTTAGAATCTAGTTTCTTCTTTTATTTCTGCTGATGTATACAAAAATTAAAATAAGGACCTTTTTATTTATTATTATGTCATTACTAATTTAGTAATAGTATGAAGTGTTTATACACTATAACATTTATTTAAAGTGACACAAATATTAATTCATTTTTAATAAATAAATTACATATAAAATACACATTTGTGATTTTATTTTTGAGGACTGCAACTTTCATTATTAAGAGATATAAAAATAGGTTAATTAATAAAATTTATTTTATGGATGAATGTCAAACATTTAGCTATGCTTGATGTTAATTAAAGAAATTTGAGTACCGGTGGAAAAAAGGATTTCCCCCTTCTTGATTGAATCACCATAAAAATATTAATTTTTTTTTGTTATATATTAAATTAAATTTAATATAGAAGTTCAAAATACACATTTTGCTGCTAAATATATAAAAGAAAACCTGTATGATAATTTATAGTACATTTGATATGTACTTATTTTTCATAGTCATTTGAATGGTCGTGGAAAATAGATAATTACAGAAATAAATCATGTGTAAGCAACTACATTTGAATCGGTAACATGAGGATATTTAGTCCCATGCTCTGGTAGATGAGTTATTGTGGCATTTATTTATATTTTAAAAACTAACATGGTGTATGATAGATAATAGATTATTACACTCTTTAAGCATGCGGTTATAATTATTATTATTTATTTATTTATAAAAAGGTATGATTTTTTTTCATTAAGTCAACTTTTATAAAGGTAAAATGGTATTTTCAGTCTCAAGACGAATATTAAATCTTAATCTCTTATTAAGGAATAGAAAAGGAGTGAGAGAAATTAATCTCTTATGTTAAACTTTTATTTTAAAGTTTAACATACATTGTAATTATCAAAATAAATAAATAAATAAATAAATAAATTATATATATATATATATATATATAAGAAAATTGTAACAATAATATTGGGATTATACCAAAATTCATGTAGAAATTCACACTCTTAGTGTTAAGTCTTTCTATTTCTCAACTTTTGACACATTTTTTTTAATAAAATTTTGCATTGTATAGTAAATTTAAATTTGGTTATGTATCCACACACCCATCTAGTCATCTTTCAATTGCGTAAAAGAATTAACATAGTGAAATACTTTAGTTAGGGAGAAGGAACTCAAACATGTCTCCTTGCCATATGAATGTGTCATAGGACTACTACATATACGACAATAACTTTCTTCCAATTGGTTAACATGTTTATATATTTATAATTCGAACTTAAGAATACTAATTAAATCTAAATAATTTTATGTCAATTAATTTATTGGTCATTATCCATAAAAAAATATGTAATTAGTTAAACAATTATATGTAAGGAAGAACATGTAGAGATGATTCTCTGCATTCACATGTCATGTTATAAGAATGATTTATTTAAAATAAAATCATGTGATCAGTTCTCACTGTGTTTGAAAATATTTTGAGTTAACAATAATTACAGTATCGTGAACAAAAATAGTTTTTACCTAATAAACTAACGATTTTTTTAAAGAAAGAATGTTATTATTTTTTAACTACTTAATTTTGGTAAAATATAAATAAACCTAGTCTTTTTAATATGGTAGTTTAGAGGCAATGATAATCTTTTTCTTTTTTAAAAAAATGTATGCAAAAATATTCAGGATTTAAAACTTCAGATTATATATAAACATTTTTTTTAGATTATATAAAAAGAAAAGGCAAAGGTAAATGCAAAAAAAAGGGAAAAGAAAATAAAACAACGAGGTTAAAGAAACGTATAAAAATAAAAGAAATTAGGATAACACTGTGTTGGCTCAACTAATAAGCGTTTTATATTAAAAAAATAATTTTTTTTTATTAAATATTGTTATCAATCGTTTTATTTAACAATTATACGGTAAACAAATTGTATTAAAAATATATTAAATAATAATATCAAAAACCATTTCAAACAATTTTTTATGAAACTTCAAATTTTTTTGTTCTAAATATAATCCTGTTTAAATGAGATAAAACCATAAATAATGAAATTCTCTAACTACATTTTTAACGGCCGGATTCAATTATGAAGGATTTATAATCGACCCAGTTTCTATTAGTTTCATTTAACAATATTAAAACTACGAAATATTTTATGCTATTTTTTTTTTTTTGTAATTTTGATTTTTAGTTTTGCCTTTTTCACTGTAGTGGTGGGTTGTCCTCTTTCCCACGTCAACACGTAGTCATAACACAATTAAACTTTTTTTTTTTTTTTTTTTTTTTTTTTTTT